ACCTTCAAGAGAGCATGTGCCTATAAGACACTTTGGTTTTGAACTTCTGGATTCTAGAACCATGGGAAAATTAATTTATCATTTTGATTTTTGAGGCTATATATGCCCAGCTGGGCGTGGAACTCTCAATCCTTTTACCTCAGTTTCCTGAGGGCCAGCACTACAGGCATATACCACCCACATCCAGAATTGTTTCTGTTATTTTAAGCCACCAAGATTGTAATACTTTGTAATACTTTGTTAGTACAATCCTAGGAAATATAGTATCCATCTAATATCCATCTTTCTAAATTGAAAGAGAGAGAGATTGAGGTAGGGAATTAGAAGGCAAGACAAGTTTCAGACAAATAATACTGAGATTATCTCTAGTATATTGTCCTTTAGAATGGGTCAAGATGTTAAGCAAAGAAAAGGCAATGAGAGAATAGATGAGGAAGGTCACAAACTACGGAGCTTATTGAAGCAAAGGAATCACAAGAGAAAGAGTCAGAAGCAGATCTGGTAGATCAGTTCCTTTAAAGTGATGAGTTAAGAGAAGGTTCAAGTGTTCCCTACCAGTGAAGGAAGGGACCCAGAAAGAACTGGATTTGGGGATGCTACTGTAGTTTACCCTTCCGAAGAAGGAAGAGGAGAGGGGGGTGAAAGTGACCTTGCCTCACACTGCCCTGTACTCTCACAGTTCTGCAGGTGCTTACGTCAGACTCTTCTCCAGTTACTGTACTCCGGGTACAAGTTCTTCGCACTCACAAAGTGACTGTCCAGGAGGGTTGGGCTGAGGCCAGAGTGGCACCAAGGAATCTTATAGTTGCTTCAGCCTGGATTGCTCTTTAGTGTTGTTGGTAGTGGTGGTCGCTGTAATGCTTGAACTCAGGGCTGGGGCACTGTCCCTGTGCTTTTCTGCTCAAGGCTAGTGCTCTACCACTTTGAGGCACAGCGCCATTCAGGCTTTTTCTGTGATTAACTGGAGATAAGAGACTTATAGATTGTCCTGTCCCAACTGGCTTCAAACCATGATCCTCTGATCTCAGCCTCCTGAATAACTAGGATTGTAGGCATGAGCCAGTGCCCAGCTCTGTATTGCTCTTTACATTCCTGTCAGCCTGGACAGCGCCTCTTTCAACTTCTAGTCCATTTCAAATCAAGCTCACTGGGCCCATAACACTTTCCATACTCTATTTCTTATACTCTGTTTCTTTATACATCCATATACTCAGAACCATAATTCACTTTTTTATGTATTTGTACTGCTCACCCATGAGGCTGAGGAAGCATCTCCTTCTAGTCTGTGCCCTCTGTAGAGCCTGCTCCAATGTGGTTGAACACGAAACAGTTTTATTCTAGAGCTCAAGCAACAAAAAGTTTAAAATAGCAGAAAAAAAAAAAGAGGAAAGCAGAGAGGAAGAGCAGGTGAAGTATATGAATACACAATTTACACAATCAAAGAGACAAAAGTGACCATGACTATTAACCACATGGACTTAATTACATCAACTTTGATCAAAATCAGAGGAGTCCAAGCTGAAACTATGCCGAGAAAATGTGTTTCACCTTTGACACTGACACAAGTCTGACGACATGTTGTTTGGGTTGGGAATTGCTCACAGAAGTGAAAAATGACATGGCTCTAAGGGGGTCAGTTTGGCAGTGTCTACCAAAAGTCCAATTACATTTACCCTTGGCCCAGAAATCCCACTCTGGGGAATATCTGGAGGATGTCTGCAGAGATCCAGTGCAGGCAGAGGGTGATTCTGTGCCACCATTTGTAATAGTGAAAGGTTAGAAGTAATTCAAGGACCTTTGTTCCAAAGAACTAGGCAAATAACCTGCATAGAAGTGAGGACCAGGACAGGCACCCAGGGAGAGAGCAAGGCTTCTCAAGGCAGTGCTTTCCTATCGTATCAGTGTTTTTTTTTTTAATTAAATTGAATTTATTTTTAACTGATAGATAAAACAAAAATTGTACATAAGAATGAGGCACCATGGGACATTTCAGTATGCATATATATTGTAGAATACATTTTTAAGTCTGGCACCAACTTGGGTGAACATTCAAGATAATCACAAAAGTTAAAATTTTAAAGTAATATTTAAATTTATCACTTGATGAACCAATTTCCTGCCTTTTCCTAATAGCAAACCCTGGAAATAAATATCTCAATAAACTACTCAAAAGTTGCTCAGAAGCCATCTGAAAGAAGCATTCCATTGTCTTCCCTAGGGAACTTTGTATGCTTATGACATTAATCACTCAGTTTCCTCATTTTTTTCCCCTCAATTACCAGTGAAATTTGATTTATTTCCTACTTTCAGATTTTTCTATACATTTTCAAATACCTCTTCCCTAAACTCAGAATGTTCACATATCTTTGGTTTTGCTAGATTCCCCACACCACGCATCAAAACCTCATAAAAATCTCTCAATAAATACAACTTTCACATTTCTACTTAGAAACCTAGGTTGCCTCATTGGAGTGTAATGCCCTACACACAACCCAGGACCCAATATTTCATTGTAACTCAGAACAATCTTACAAAATAAGGACCATTATAAATCATTTTGGAGCCTGGAGATGCTAAGCATATTGCCCAAGGTTGAGTACTGAGTGAAGATGGACCAGTATGGAATTTTCAATATACTGACTTCAGTATATTGAACTCCTCACAAGCACTCCTCCAAGTCCTTTCTGGTCCATGGACCTTTCTCTTCTGCTTCTTACACTTCCATGTTTCTCATCCCTTCATCCACGCATTCATTCATTCATCTGTCAATATCCTTGTCTCCCTGCTATGTACCAGGAACCCATGCTAAGTGATGTGATGCAGATATTAGGACAATCTCTGACTTTAAGAAGCTTACAGTTCAAAAAGAACACATGTGTAAACAGACAACCCCATACACAGGATGTTCTAAAATATGCACCCTCCTATATATTTCTATTGTTTCTTCTCCTGTCCTCAGGAAGCAACCATTTGGGGTCCTATCTATTGTGATGGGACAATGAACTTTAGAAAAATTCCATGAAGATTATCATAGATAAAGTAAGTTCCCTAAACAGACTTACATATTAATCATTAATGATAACTAATTCTAATTATTTGGGTTGGTATCTGCTTTTCTGTAGCCTATAGTTTTCTGAATGTCATTTCACATTGAATCGTGAATAAGAGTATACTAATGTGTATTTTTACTTCTCTCCACATAATCCAGGTTGGAAACAAAACAGAAAGGAAACCTATCTGGTAATGCTTCTAAGAGAACAGTAAAGAATCCCTGAACAACCTTACCTATTGGCCTCAAATGTCCTCTTCCTTATCACAATCCAAAGGACTCACATTCCTTGCACCATTGTTCTGACTAAGCTAGAAAGGTTAGCCTACTAAATGGATATGCAATCTTGCCTGGGAACTACTGTCTTCGTAGCTGAAGGACTGCCCACCTTCCGTCCCCTAACAAAGCTAGTCACATAGGCTTGGGCTCCAAGACAACTTAGCACATCAACTTTCTCATCTGAGAACAGGGAAAAAGATGGATTCTATAAGGTATGACCCAAATCCAAACCTTCTTGGGTCACTCTTACAAGACAGATTTTCACATGCAGCTCAGGATCAAATTGTAATCTCTCTAGACCTCTGGTACCCATTCTACCACCCTAAGCCTGGCTACCAGTGCTACAGAGTAGCAGGAAGAAGAGGCCCTAGAATCTGACAAATGAGGGGCTCTGAATTAACAAGTGTCCCAGCTGCAGTCCCACAGGCTGAGCTGGGGTCATACTCTAGACTGAGGATGTAGATAAACACAGAAGGAAAATTCTGGGGGCTGGAAAGGTGGCTCAGTGGTAGAACGCTTGCCTTGCATGCATGAGGCCCTGGGTTCGATTCCTCAGCACCACATAAGCAAAAAAAAAAAAAAAAGGCAGAAGTGGCGCTGTGGCTCAAGTGGTAGAGCACTAGCCTTGAGCTGAAGAGCTGAGGGACAGCGCCCAAGCCAGAGTTCAAGCCCCACGACCGGACCCAAAAAATAATAATAAAATAAAGAAGGAAAATTCTGTAGGTAGAAGACAGTGTTCAAGTTCCCCCAGACAGAGATAGAACAAGTCCATACCAAACACCAGAAAGCAGTACCCAAGAAATTACTTTGAAAAAAGTTTGAACAAACACACCGGGGGTGGGGGGGAAGGGACACAGGAAGTCAAAATTTATATTTTATTTTTTAAAAATAGAAAATAAATGGGAGTAAGGATCAGATTTACCTAGACTGGCTTATACCTTTTCATGGTTTAGTATTTTGTTTTGTCTTAAATATAGAGAGGCAAGGTAAGAACAGACAACAGAAAAAAAATTCTACTTCTTCCCCATGCTAGGACCTCCCAAAGTTCTTAACCTGGTCTCCTCTATTAGATACCAAGAAGATTTCAATGGACATCTCCATAGACTGAGGATCAGAAACTGAAATGTCTACAGACATCAAAACCATTACCTAAGGTGCTACAAAGTGTTATTGGATAAATTGGCTTTTCCATTCTCAAACATCAGTTTAAAAAAGGATTTTCCCAATTGTCATACTCCATTTGGGCAATTATGACAAAATACCATAAACTGGTAGCTAACAATCAACATAAAATTATTTCTCACAGATTGTCTCAGGGTCTGGTTAGGTAAGACTTGCTTCCTGGTCCATGGATGGCCATTTCTTTTGCTATAACTTCATATGATGGAAGGGGTAAGGGAGCTACCTGGGATCTTTTTCATGAGGACATTAATCCAACTAAGGAGGGCTCCATCCTCCTGACCAAACCACTTCCAAAAAGGATGTGCTTTCTACATGCCATCACATTAGGGATTAAGTTTCAACATACAACTGAGGGTTGGGGGAGACACACTCAGACCATAGCATAAATGGTATATTTAAATAGTCTCTAAGTTACAGTTTAATTTTTAACTTTTACTTTCATCATCCATTACTAATAATGTCACCTAATACTTCCACAAAAAGTACTTACCAGGGTCCACACTGATCCATTTAATCCTCATGATAGCTCTTTGAAGTATCATCTTGAATGAAAGATACCAGAAACAGCACAGTTCTACATGATTGTACATGGGAGCTTCAGGGAAAGGCAGAGTAAACCTGTAGTTTAGAATCAGAACAATGGTTAGTCTTGAAAAGGGCAGGGAGTGATGAAAAAAAGGCCCAATAGAACTTTCTATGAGATAGAAATGTTAGATCTATCTTGGGTCATTCATTTCTCTATATGTAAAATATGTTTTGCTTTAAAAACTTGTTCCTACATTTGTCACAAATATCAAGCATGATCTATCTTTTATGCATTGTACTTCCATTTTTAGGACCATTTGGCAGAAATGTAAGTCTTTAGAATAATTTGGGGTCTTGGGGAGTTTTTGAGGTGTTGCTCATCTGGTCAAGATTCCACCACTGAATACTGGGTGCTGGTGGCTCATGGCTATAATCCTAGCTACTCAGGAGGCTGAGATCTGAGGATCATGGTTCCAAGCCAGCCTGGGCAGAAAAGTCCCCATGAGACTCTCCAATAAACTATTCAAAAACTGGAAGTGATGCTGTGGCTCAAGTGGTAGAGCGCTAGCCTTGAGCACAAAGAGGCTCAGGGACAGTGCCCCAGCCCTGAGGTCAAGCCCCATAATCAAAAAAAAAAAAAGATTCTACCACTGAGCCACTGAGCTACATCCTCAGTCCTTAGACCTACCAGGTTTTAAATCATCCATCTATGGTTTCAGTCAGAGGTTTCTAACATGATAATTCAAAGCCCTTCTTGCAGTCTTTCTAAAGAGTAATCAAAAGGAAAAAGGCAATGTTCTGATATATAACTTATTACTAGCGCTTGGCATTGTTCTGGCTTCTTCTTTTCATTGGTTGATTTAAATCTCATATAACATCTAAGAAGAAGGTTGGGACAGGCCAAGTAATGCATCAAGGTCACAGAGCTAATGAATGACATCACCAGGCCTTAACCCCAGATCCCTAGTCCACTCTCTTTCTCATAAACACACACACATACATACTCACACACACACACACACACACACACACACACACACACACACACACAATCCACATGCATACATGCATAAATATGTGCAAGTACACACATATGCATATGAAATACCCAAATCATGGATCTCCCATTGTTTATTATAAATCTGTGATGACAGTTCTTTCTGTGAGATCTGAAAACAAATTAAGTATTTCCAAAGAGCACATGGAAAGTTTTAAAGCATCACCTGATTCACCACCCTTGGCTCTCATTCTCAGATCCCTGTTTGCTTTGGAATCTAGAGACTGGAATAATCTACTCAAAGTAAACAAAGGAAGCATAGAACAGTTGTAGAACTTGCCAAAGGGCAAAGGCTAAGGGGGTTTATTCACTTTGTTTAGGTGTCAAAGCAAAATTCTCCATTATTCTGCACACTAAAGTGTGTCCACTTTAGAAGGGAAGTGCACACACACACACACACACATACACACACACACACACACACACACACACACACACACAGACTACAGTTCAAAGTTAAGAATGAAGAGTAATTAGCAGAAAATTCTCCATTATTCTGCACACTAAAGTGTGTCCACTTTAGAAGGGAAGTGCACACACACACACACACACACACACACACACACACACACACACGGACTACAGTTCAAAGTTAAGAATGAAGAGCAATTAGCAGAGGGAAGAAAGAAATGAGCTTGATCAGTTGCAACCCTGGGCTGCTCTTTCACATCATGGTTTCTTAGATTTTCTGCTCTCAATAGTGGTTTTTGACAGTGAAATTCTAAAGACACTGCATGTACCAAAGTCTAGTTGGTTTGTTAGAATCAAAGTCATATCCTCATCCCACCCACCCCCCCAAAAAAAACTATCCAGAAAGCTTCAAGTGACTCTCAGGTATATACTAAGATAAACGCACTAAAGAAATCTCTTACTAGTTAATGTCAAAACAATTCACTTCAACTTTTTCCTGGCAAGGCATAAAAAAGAACAATCTTGTATAGTACTAAGACAAAAATAAACTGAATGGCTGCTAAGGTTTCTAGGCCAGCAGTTGATTAATGGATGAATGAAAGGGGGAAAAAATGCTATCATTATTACAAAAGCAGGTTTCTCATCCATTATACATCCACAGTGCCATGCTCTGAATGGCACTTCACATCACACTCAAAATGCAGAATGCTGACCTTCAGGTATCTTGTCAACAAAACTGGAAATGAATTTCCAAGCTGTTTTCAAGCTCTAATCTTCTCCCTTTCCTCCCCCCCCCCCCACAAAAAAATAAAGGAGCTAGGACAATAATTCCCTTGGGAATTATTAGGTTATCAGCTGTAAGCTCAAGTTTTATTCCTTTCAATGGCTATGGAGTAAGGAAATAACAGTGTCAGCCCAGATCTTACAACCTTTTCAGTTCCAACCAGCAGTGAGTGTGAGTCCCAGCCCTGTTACATATGTCTGATAAATCTTGCTTTCCCCAACAGATCTAATGTAGCCATTTTCTTCCAAATGAGTAATAGGAGCACTGTAAGTGGATATCTTTTAGATTCTGGTGAAGCTGTCATGAGATTCAAAACTCCAGTTGCTATGGACAGATGGCTGTTCATATAATTTAAAATGGAGACACGATGCCAGGAACACACTAGAAATGAAGAACAGCTCAGAAGAAAAAAGTGTGAGTTTTTATAATGAGATTTTTGTAATGCAACTCCTTTCAAATTAGGTCATTCAAGACTAAGTGTTTTTTTTACTTTGGTCTTCCCCAGCAAAAAGAAGAAAAAAAAAAACAGCCAAGAACAAAAGGACTTCGAGGTAAAGGGACCTGGTACATAAAGTCTAAGTTTTCCATTGGAGATCACTTCACCCTAGCCAGGAAATAGGCAAGGATAACTCATTGTAACAGCTAGTAGTAACTGAAGCATAAGGTATGACCGACTGTTGTTTTATGTGTGTTAACTCATTTAATTCTATGAAGCACTGAGTGTTCAAAAGGCTGGGTCCTAGAGCTTGCTTGAGTTGAAAACTCTTTCTTCCATTTGCTAGCAGGGCATGCTCCTTTTCTGTACAATGATCACACAATGGTATCTTTCTCATCTAGCTTGCTTTGAGAATTAATAGCTAATGTTAAGCTCTTCAAAAAATTTTTTTTGCCTGTCATGGGGCTTACACTCAGGGCTGGGCACTGTCTCCGAGCTTCTTTTGCTCAAGGCTAATGCTCTACCACTTGAAACACAGTGCCACTTCAGGCCTTTTCTGCCTATGTGGCACTGAGGAATAAAACTGATATTCACTTGTTTTCCATTCTTTTTTTATATACAACAAATGATATTCATTTAAGAAGTTTTTTTTAATCAAAAGTTGTATATAAGATTATTTCACTCCTGCATCTTCTCAATTGTTTCTTCCTTGTATTTGTCCTTTTCCTTTCCTACTTGGCAGGATTTAACTTTCCGTTCCAGGATCTTTTTGCAGTCTTTGTCCAGTTTCAGCCTGGCGATTACCACCTTGCTGGTGTGAATGCCTATGTCGACAGTGGTGCCATTGGCCTTTTCCCGCTGTGCCCGCTCAATGTAGATGACATACTTCTTCCTGTAAACCTGGACCACTTTGCCAATCTGCTGGCCTTTATAATGTCCTCGTACAACCTGCACCTCATCATCCTTCTGGATGGGCATTGTACTTTTGTCTCAGGTCTTTGGAAAGAGGGGAATACATAATCTTCCTGCGAATGTGGGAAGGTGCATTGAAATGCCTTTTCCAGTTCTTGCTCTGGTCAGAAGTGACAAAGGGATTGAACTTCATTTTGGCCGCTCCTGCTTCAGCAATGGCAGAAAAGGGGAAGAGCTTGTTTTCCATTCTTATTGCCATTTTACAATTAGGAAACTGTGGTACTGAAAGTATTTGCTAAATATACAATTAATCTCTAACTAATGAACCAATAAATATCTGGCATTTTGTAAATATTTCATACATGGCAGTTATTTTTATTCTATAATAAACAGAGATCACAGGGTAAACAAACCATCCCTCTGTAATTTAAAATTGCACTTTGAGCTGGGCGGTGGTGGCTCACACCTGTAATCCTGGCTACTCAGGAGACTGAGATCAGAGAATTGAGGTTCAAAGCCAACCCCAGGTAAGAAAGTCTGTGAGACTCTTATTTCCAATAACCACCAGAAAACTGGAAGTGGCGCTGTGGCTTAAGTGGTAAAGTGCTAGCCTTGAGCAAAAAAGAAGCTCAGGGACAGTGCCCAGGCCCTGAGTTCAAGCCCCAGAACTGGCAAAAAAAAAAGAAAGAAAGAAAGAAAAAGAAAAAAAACAAAGATGGCTAGGTGCATGGTTCAAGTGGTAGAGGTATGAGCACAAGACTCTAAGTTCAAACCACTGTACTGTCAAAAAATCAGACTGTTCTATGAAAACAAAAAGAAAACTATGATCAAATCAAGATAAGAAAAGCTTTACAAACCAAACAGGAAGTCCATTAAAGAGATAGGACTTTGGAAAAAAAAGAGAGAGATAGAGAGATAGGACTTTGATATAATGTAGGCTGCCACTGAAGAATGTGAGATCTGGCATCGAGAACAAGTAGACAATGACACTGTGCCTGGGAAACTGAGGTTTTAGGCCCAGGCCCAAAGTCCACGAGTCACATGTTAGGTTCGGTCAAAATAGAGATATGGTGAAGGACCCAGAAAGGAGATTTGTTACACGGCAGCCGTGGGAAGACAGCACTTCAGTACATCTTCAACCACCTTCAACTATCTTCAAGGGTATGAGGAGTGTGAAAAGTAGACATATTTACAATAGTCTCCAGTTACAGTATGGCCTTGGTTCAAAGGCATGGCTGGTGGTCTATAGATTTTGGTTCTTCTCTAGAAGATGATAAGAAGGTTTTGCCTTTTTCAGGGACAATTTATTTTTTGTCATAAGATGTTTATCAGTGAATCCAGTCTTTCCTGATTGTAAAGTGACTGCTGCAGAGAATAGTTCAGATCAAAGGGCATAGATTCAAAGGAGAGGAAAGGCTATGTATGCAGCGCTTAATTTACAGGTCCAGCCAAAGCAGTTTTTAAATTGTTTCATATACCCATAGGCTGAGAAT